ATCGAATGTGAAAGTTGATTTTAAAAAAAGTGATTTCCTTACACATATGTAACTTTTTGAACATAGAAGTCAGTAATTGCCGCCTTTTATGTGATGGACAGCAATCTCGCGTATTTTAAAGCTGAGCGAAACCAAAACTATGGCGATATCTTGGTCTCACTCTCAGACCGGCAGAAAGTCATTAAGCAGATGCTATGTCGAGGAGGGTATCGAATACTACTCGGATACATCAAAAAGCAAGTGTGTGGCCTATTTACATAGATAATCGGCCGGTTTCCTGTTAATATCATAACTCTATCTCAGCCAGGCCAGACCAGTTTCACCGTGTTGAAAAAGGTGTTTGCTTGATTGCTCATTGTATCAGCCAGCGTTGATCTAAGTTCAAAGGTGCGTGTAGACTAGACCAGACTAGACTAAGCCATTTTAGTTACTCATGTTTACACGACTGTTTGCCTACATCACGTTGTTGAATATAAACAATATTCGCTAAGAAAATAAGCTTTGTGATTGTCGCTGAGGGTTTCAATAAAAGTTACATTGAAAGGGCTTGTCTTAACAGTTTCATGACGTTTAGAAAGTATTTATGATGAAAGGAGAACAGCGCGAAAATATAAATAAAGGCCGAGAAGAAGGGGTAACGACAAACACGGCGCTTACTAGAAACTGAAAGTTTATTTGTGCACAAAACAACGAAATAAACAGAAAACGAAAGACACAAACAACCCGTCAAAATGGTTCCACGCACATGCTTATCTGCGATCAAACGAACTTGCCATAAGTCATGATACCGTTCACTTCGTCACCCCTCAGAGCTAAGGACGGCGCACTGACACACGCTTCCTCTCCTTTCAAAGATATAAAAAATGCTTCATCATTCTCCCTCGTGGTTTTGTTTCTCTGGCAAAAATTGTGATATCATGCAAACGTGGCTCACAGCCGCATCGGCTACAATGAATTGCGAGGTGGCCAGAGGGGAAAGAACGAAGGGAAAGTTCCCTCGCCCTTACATTGATACACCTGCCCGTCTGTTCTATGTGGACTCTGCCGCACGTGAGAGGGATCTGGTAGACAACCACGTGGCACACGTGATATAAGGGATGCGGTGATTGACGTCACAGGCCACTCGAGGGGAACCGCCTCTATTCATAGAGGTGCACAGTCGGGACAGCTTACGGGGCGCAGAGAAAGCAACAGGCACATGAAACTTATTAGCGACGCGCTTAACATTGTGGGACAACGCATGAAGATACGGTGCGAGAATAAGTCTCGACGCTGGTTTATGTCATACTTTAGAGCCAGCTGGACCCCTGAACAGTTTGAGCAGGGACTCAGCAATGCCCACAATGACCCAGGAAGCCTGCTGAGATCAGCCTAACAACCTACGCTTGGAGACTGCTCTGGGACCTGTGGTGACACGACTTGGTCAAGGCTGCTCGCATACCTGACACCGCTATAGCCCGCTTCACCAGTTTGGTGTGCGCGGAGTCAAACGGCAAAAGTCCCTTCCTCGACCGAGGTTCATAGGACCAACATACATGTCGTGTCTCCAGGCAAAGTCTCAGGTCCAAAAATTACAAACCTCCGTCCCTGGGATTCTCAACCTTAAACTTCAAACCGGTAGAACACTCCATAAAAATGCCTGAAACATCAGAAGAAGCGCAATCACAGTCACCGTTCGGGTTGAGAACAAGCACCACGAGGCAATCATCAACGTATCAGAACACTTTCCGAACACAATCACCCACCCTTCCCCTAATGGCCCGATCACACTTCGCCAGGTAAATGTAACTAAGAATTGGTGGAACGTTAGATCCATACACACTCCACTCTTCTTCAAAAAAAGTTGTCATCCTCAAACGCAACATAGGTGGAGTCGAGGTAAAACACAGTACCTTCAAAAAGGAGTCAACCGAAATCCCACTGGCGCTCGTAAAAGCAACGGACCCACTTGACTCAATACCTTCATCTACGACCCGCATCAAATCAAAATGTGGGATCGAGTAGTACATGTCCTCAACGTTAAAGGACACTAAACTACACAATCCAGGCTTATCCGCCCTCAGGAAATCAACGATAGCTTCAGAGTTAAGTACAACGAAAGGGACGTCCAACCTAAGCGATGAGAAGTAGCGCAGGAGGTAAGAGGACACGCGCAATTGCCAGGAGTCTCTCTGAGTGGCGATAGCCCTAAACAGCATCATTTCCGTGTGGGTCTTCGCCGCGAAAAAAACCTCGAGACTGAGTTCCTTTCCCGCAGAGACAGACTTCATAAGCTTATCCAAACCAAGATCCCCACGGAGCTGTAATGCGTGCGCCTTAACCCTCTTCAACGTCACCTCAGGCACACATCTGAAAATTTTCATCACCGCTTGTCTCACTCTCTCCAGAAATATGCCCTCCAGTACCGCCACAAAACCCCCGGCTTTGTCTGAAAGAAACAGCCTCAACTTGGACTCTTTATAAAGGGACACAACCGTTCCCATCTTAATTCTCGGCAGTGGCCGTCTGTCCATGCTTCTCAGCCTCTCTACACAGTCCTATAGGCTTCGGTCCCTGTTATCCACTGTCCTTTTGTCAGATATCTGACGTACAAGGACGAGCATTTCTGACAGCATGACTGCTGGCTCAGTGGCAAACTTAGATTCCTTATTCAAGATCTTCATGACATCTGGCGTAGCAGACGCCCCCTCTCAGGAACACCACATTGCCCTTGACATCCCGCGGAACTTCCTGCTTCTTTGGATACGAGGCGCGAAATCGTTCCCACAGAAACTTGGTGACCTGCGTCTCCTCCTTCAGGCACGATCGAAGTTTCCTCTCAGCCACGTGTTCGTCCTTCAATGTCCGGTAGCACAAGACCCTCAGACAATCCTTAAGAAGTTTGGCCTGCCTCTATGATTCAGACCGTAAAATTTTGCACACACGCTTGGGATGTCCAGCCGATGTGGCCACCAAGCCGAAAAGAACGGCCACGTGAGAAGGGGGAATACCTTTCCGAGCAGAGTATCCGTAGTGACGGATACTCTGCTCTCAAGGCCATTGACACAGGTCGCTGTGTCATTGGCGTTGATGTAGAACGCGTCCTGATAGGTTTTACTTGATGAACACAGAAAAGAGCCCGATATACAAGAAAAGAAGTGCAACAACGCATAAAGTTGGGGGGGGGGGGGGGAGGGTTGGTTTGACATCATGAAAGAACAGCGCGAAAATAAACAAGGGACGAGAAGAAGAGGTAACGACAGACACGGCGCTAACTAGCAACTGAAAGTTTATTTGTGCACAAAACACGAAATAAACAGGATAATAAACACACAAACAACCCGTCCAAATGGTTCCACGCACACGCTTATCTGCAATCAAATGAACTTGCCACAAGTATTTATGGTTTTAATGTGAATCGTCAGCATATAGTATATTGTGAAACACCTTTATGAAATATGTTTTATAATAAAAATGGCGAAGACATGCGCCTCCCATGTTTTTATGCACCGTATAACATATTTATATTAAGACCCGAACTGTGATTCATATTTGAAGACCGAAACTACATTGTACGAATTACTGACAGTATACTAGTTGACTGACCTCATTTTACGAATCTTTTGATTCAGATAAAACATGTGACTGAGGTAAACAACGGAAAGTTTCGTTGCTCAAACACAACGTTTATAATATTAAACAAGTATTTCTTAGACTGCAGCTTCTAACTAAAATAATGCGCTTTCTTTTTTTGTTGCTTGAAATTAAAAGTGAATTGTACAAACGATAAGCACTACACGTTTGTCGCCGGAAGTAGGGCGTGGTGACAAAAGGATGTATAAATATCAGAGCTGGCCAAATTACTCATATTTTGTAATTAAATTACATTACTAATTACTTTGCTGAATATTGCTGAAATGTAATTAAATTACATTACAAATTACCACAGCCAGAAAGTAATTAATTACCATTACAAATTACTTTTAAAAGTAATGACATTACTTTCGCATTACTTTTGTATACTTTCAAATATAAAGGAGGTATTGATAACTTCCTTTTACAGATAACTTTATTTACATTATTTACACAGTTCATGGCACACAGCTAGAACTCTCTGTTGCATATTTGCCGATGGACAGAAGAACACACGCGACTGATCCGTTTCCCACCCCAACCCGGACAACTATTTTGAAGATGACTGAGGACCCTACGCGGATTATCTCTGGGCGGGGGGAGAACTATTGTCATTGTTCGCAAAATCGCGTCGAGGCCGTTCCACCAGGGGCCTTAGTTCGACCTACTTCCCCTCCTTCGTTTCCCGAGAATGTCGAGCAGAAAAGCTCGAATGGCAGGCACTTACCAGCCCTATTTCTCACAGTGGAAGATAACACAGAGAGGGTATGCAGCATGCATCAGAAAATGTACGCGGAAACTTTCAAGAGGGGCCAGAAAACGTCGAATGCAAAACCGCAAAACATAGGTAGAGAATCGCGCTAAGCGGGTTTTCACAGTTCAAGAGAGTGGCAGAAAATGTCTAGCTGATAGCGGGCGTGAGAGTCGCACCAGCCGCATTAGCATCAGCAACATAGCGGCGGCCGAAGAGCGTTTTTTGGAAAGGTGTAGAGGAAAAAGAAAATGTAAAATAAAAAGAAAAGCGCTCTTGTGTATTGTGGACAAAAAAATATGCCTGGTGCGAAAAAGTAATTAGGTAATTTAATTACAATTACCGTCGTTGGAGTAATTCATTACATTACTAAATTACCTGCTACAAAAAGTAATGAATTACATTACTAATTACTGGAACAAGTAATTAAATTACAGCAATTTCATTACAGTAATTACATTACTGCCAGCTCTGATAAATATATTAAAACTTTAGCGGTTCAAACCGGTTCGAACGTTTTTGAACTAATTTGAACCTTTTTTGTAGCTCTCCGGAGCTGAACCTCGGAACTGAACCGAAACCCGTAAAACTTGACCAGAACCAAGCTGATAAAACTGTCGGTTTGACACTCTGACTGTTACAAAGTTCCAGCCACTATCCTTGACTTGAGCTCCTGTCTCAGTATCTTTCCGGAGTCTGATTTTGGCAAAGACTTCATGAAGACAACGCCTCCGTACAGATGCTTGTGGAGCGATGTTTGACCTGCGAACAACACACGAACGCCTTACCATCACGAACAGGTGAAATTCTATACTGCTAAAGACGTTTTTGACGAATGTTGCTACCATATATGTGCATCCATTCGCTAAATACGTTCTCCGTCCTGTGATCTTGGTTGTTTCAGCCTTGCACTGGTGCGTTTAAAACTATAAAAGCATAGAAATAACAATTTAAAAAGCTTGAGTGTTTCCCGTACTTGAAGGAAAGGAAAAAGTTTAGTGAACGCGACTGAAATTAAAAACGATTGTTTAACCACATTAAAAATAGCGAAATGCGGCTGAAATAGCATTTAATCTTCTAGTTTATTGGTTGAGGTGTATTTTAGCATATGACTACCTTCGGAAAGAGGATGGTGGTTTTGTTACTTTAACATTATAGTCATTTCTCTTATATAGCCTTAAAGGGGTGGTGTAAATATATTCAGTTGGAATGTTTTTCAAGTTACACGAGTTTACTGGCACTAGTGGGACGAAGGTATACTCGCACGCAACACCATTGAACAAGAAACCTCTTTCTTGCTGTGTAATTTCAAGGATTAAAGTCAGCGTTTTCTTTCAGTCTCTCCTTCGCAAAACTTGATGACGTAGCGTGGGGGGTCGCAGTGTCGGCACAGTCCCCCAGTGTAACAATATTGGAATGCGGCTTATAGATTTAACCTGAGTATTGCGTGAACACTTTATTTGGATTCATGGTAATTAATAGCTCGAGAAGCTTTCGGGTAGTCGCTCGTGTCCAATCGCGGCAATGACGACAATAGCCGAACCCTAACTATGTCCGGAACTCAACGCGAGTCTTGTGCTTTGCCGACCCCAGCGCGTGGCCAGGATCAACGCTGGCGGCATATAATCGGCTCCAGGTCACGTGGACGCCTGTTCTGTCTACGAGTTGAGGGAGTGAACGCTGCGCGTTTTTCTTCAATTGTTTTCTTCGACGTTTATTGCGTGGGGACAAAAAGGAACCCCCGTACTTTATGCGTCGTAAACGCCAATGGTTCGTTCCAAGCGGTGCTCGGGCAAAGTACAAAAATTGTCGCGCTGTGCAACGATTTTAACGTTGAAAGAATTGCAATTTTCTGCTTTTGATATCGTTCACTGTGTCACAAATGGCAGAAATCACACCTCCTTTCATCGGAATGTTGTGATTCCGCCGCGTAATAGCGAAACAAAACTTGGAATATTTCCCGACCTGTAGCCACGAGCGGCGGCCATGAGAAACAAGCGGTGTGACGTCACTTGGGTAGTTGTAAGAAAGATAGCAAGTTGTGCGAATACCTGCTCGATAAAAGGTAACTTTTTTATAAATCTTGTCGTTCCAACATATATATAAATGCGTCAAAACCCTGGTATCATCGACAAAACTTTTACTATACAGAGTTTTAGTGGCGCCATCTATCCTAGGTCCACAAAACCGCGAACAGCCGCCAGAAACCGGAGAGGGAGGGGGACAGCGCCGGACGGGCAAGGACGGGTGGTCACGCGGTCGTGAGCGGATGAGTTCTCGCTGCTCGCTCATGGCTCTAAAGAGAGAACTTTTCCGGAACTCCGCGCATACTCAAGTGACGTCACTGTGCACGTGACCCGGAAGACGATGCACGAGTTGAGAGGCGGCAAAAACCTGGATCTTTTCATTTTTTTACATAAAAAAATAGGGTATCCAGGCAAATTCTGTTTTCTGTAGTTCACTGCAGAAGTGTCAGGCATCAACAATTCCACAATTATTTAAGCAAAGCCCTGAAATTGTTGCACAGCTCCTTTAAGGGCGGTTCACACAGCATCGACTCCTTACTTTGCGTTATGTTACAAAAGCTTACGTCGGCTTACCATGAACGTCACGGAGACATCTGTGCTTCGAATAAAGCGTGACATCCAGTTCAAGGACTACACGCGACATTCAAGGCACGGAAAAACGTTGAAAAGAACGGCGCTGTGTGAACTGAAGTCACTGGATGCTGGGAAAGTAGCGTCATTGCCTTCTCTGCCTGCTCGCAATGCATAAACAAATATCAACATGCAAGCAACCGGAACTGCGTAAGGCGATTGGCTCATCTGTCTCCGTTGCTATGGCAATCGCTATTTTGATCCTTTCTAATCTTCAAAGCGTCGGAAGGGTCGTTATGAACCAATCACGCCAAAATTAAAGCCCCTTCATCTTTCGAAAGTAGCGCAAGGTGGTTCGATGCACGGGGCACGTGCAACGTGCAGCCCTTGGGAAGATCATGGCGGCACAGTGCAGCACTGAGCTAGATTTCAGACGCCATGTTCTTCCCAGAAGTGGCGCGGGGCGCGTGTCTCGAACATTTCCACAACAATGAACGGCGCCACTTTTCCCAGGATAGAGGGGCTTTAGCCAAAATCGCCAATTGGCGCCATCCTACTGAAATAGGTCCTTTCAATATAAGTGACGTTGGCGCTGTGGTTGCAATAAACTTTCGAGCCATGCTTATTTCCATAGATTTCTTGTAATTGTATTGCTTTTCTCTCGTATTTCAAAAGAGGAAGAACATTTTTTAACGCGACCAAGCACCGTCGATATGTACGATGTACACGTGTACTTGTTTAGCCGGTGTGTCGGCAAAACAAAACTCTGTATGAAACAAATGACTTTATAAAGCTACATCTCGCCGCGAATTCAAATCGGCTTACCAAGAATTGAGGCATCCAGAAGACTCTGCTCATTCTGTGGTCCAAAACGGCACAATACAGGGAGCTTTGCACTGCTTTCCCTAGATTCAGTGACTTTAGTGTGAACCAGCCTTGACACCCCATTCACACGATCCTAAATGTACCTTTAGCTAAGCGGTCTTCTTGGTTGAGGGCGAACAAGTTCGCACTCCCACGCGCGTGGCAGGTGGTAGCGGCGCCAGACTGCAGACTGACTGGCCGATTGCCAATGCACATATTTTTGAGCCCTGATTCATGTGGTGCACTTTTACTTTCAATTTCACAGTTCCGACGTTGCTCGTGCGGCAAAAAAAAAAAGAAAGTCTGCAGGAAGTTGGGCTGACCAGCTTCGCAGAAGCTAGATCGCACCACGTGACCATGACACGATTTTTGAGAGAATTTTACTGAATGCATATCGTTCATGGGATCAGAAGAAAACTAGCACGCGAGATTAGGAAGGCTAGATTCTAATTTGTGGCATGAAATTTTGAGAAATAATATCGGACGATATCTTACACTCTGCCCTCGAACGCTCGCAACGAAGCTGAGTGTATGAATGGGTGGATTAATAAATGAGTTGTGGCGAAACTTGTGTAGTGGGCGGTAGTTTGCGCCGCCTAGCAAAGCAACCGCAACATCCACAGTGTTCCCCCTTGTTTCCTCTCACGTCAGTTGAATTTAGCTTCCGTATTGGATACGAGTAGCCTGCTCGCAAACCATGAAATCGTTGATTAATACCCTCGACAGAAATTACCGAGTTCAATATCCGCTTGCATAAGGCGCAGCATCAACGAGAATACGAGAGGTTTCTCCACGAGGAATTCCATCAGGACCTTATATTGGTTTCTTGCGTTGTGTTCACAGCCGCAAAGTGAACCTACCATTCGGTACTGAGTAAACGCCTCTTCTCCGCGGCCGGTTCCGGCGCCGAACTGCTACAGCCTTCGTCGGACGAGTTCTCGTTTTGTCGCTTGGGCGTACCGGCGTACGGAACAAGCCCATATCTTCAATATATCGAAACATTTTAAGCTGCACTTCACTCAGCTGCGACGCATCCACAGCCATCGCGTTGATTTCACAAGCGTCACGGACCAGCTACTCTTACCGAGCAATCGGCGTTCATGGAAAGCTCAGTAGATGAAGTCGTTTTAAACGTCCCGCCGTCGAAAAGTCGACGCAAAAACGTCGTTTCGACGCAACGCGACGCTCCACTGACGCGGCTCCCTCGCACGGCTGGGAGAACTTCCGTTTTCGGTAGAAAGGCATACTCTACGTCACGGCCGCGCGATTTCCGATGTTGGTGACCGACTCCGGTCGAGTTGAAGAGAAAAGCAGACGTGAGTTTTCATCCTTTTTCCGTGTGTTAAATTTGAGGCTATGAAACGAAAACAGATTCCTGCTCCGGGTTCCATGAACATTAAAGATTAATCGGGGTCTTCACTTCGAAAAAGCTGGAAAATCATTTAATGGATCGTTTAAAAGGCGGTGCAACAGTTTTCTAACTTTACTAAGTAATTTCGGGAGTTAATCTGTGTTACCTATAGAACGAAGAACAGAAAACGATTCTTTTCGCGCTCACTAGCTCATATTTAAAAAAAAATAAAAAACGAAACCAAACTTTGCTGAGGGCAGACTTATACGTAGTTCAACTACTCTATTCAAGTCACTGTAGTTTAACTAATTTTCTGAGTAGTTTAGTAATTTTTGATTACATTTTATTACGGCAATTAGTAGTTTACTTTAATTACTTTTTTCCGAGTGACTTCTACTCAAATTCCAAATTACTTTTAAATTTTAGTGGTAGGCTTTTTGGTAAACAAACATTCCTGCACAAAAATGGATAAGATGTTGGACGATCCGCTGATATTTGCAAAAAAGGGAAGGCATGTGGTGTAGCCAGGGGGTGGGAGTTGTTTGGAGGGTCCAAAACCCTCTAAAATATTTACGAGCCCCCTCCCCCCCCCCCCCCCCTTCACTGAAACAACCCTGCTACGAGGCGCAAGGAGTGGATAGACACGTCACAAGTGAGGTCCAGTGAATGCGGGATTTGCGCCGAAGACGCATTTTTTTGTTTCCCGAGGCTCAAGGAGACTTGACGTACTTAAAGAAAGGGTTTGTCCCCGCTTCTCTTCAACGTAGAAACTCCCGCCCACTACAGGAGGTGTAGACACTTCAGTTTTACTCTAAGAAGGCAACGAAATACAGAGCCCGCTCTGAAGCCCATCTGGTGCTCCCGTAGTTTGTGCCGTACTTGAGGGATCGCGTGCTAAAGGGCAACGTAAAGGTAACCTCCTTTGCGTTGCCTTTCCTCCAAAAACGCAGCATATGCAGGTCTTCCAAGATTCGAAGATCGTTCTAAAAGCTTAATACCCCCCCCCCCCCCCTATGTCTAAACAAAAACAAGCTGAATTGGGAAGTACTTTAAGGATATGGTATTCAAAGTACTATTTCATGTAGAATTAGAAAACTTGTACTTTATTTGAAGTACATTCTCTGAGCATATACATGTACTTTACTAAAATATTTTTCTGGTAATTTCTGCAGAAAGTAAAACTCCCGTTTCAAAACACATTCCCCAAACTTGGTAACAAAAAATGGCGTATCGTCATGTGAAAACGCACTACTGTCTTTCGAGACGTCATCTGGTCATTTCTCTGAGTGAACTAAAGGCGGCTATAAGACCGATACAACTATGTACCTTATAAGTGTATTGTTTTAAATAGTTCGTCAGAGAAAGTAAAGCAACTACTCTGTGGCGAGTTGACTTTATCCAATATTTGCCACCATTTCCGAAAAAAACTGATGCTCCTCCGATTACACCTAGAGCAATGCATACCAGTTAAGATAAAGTTTAAAAAACAAGGTATGAAAGGGCATCATGAAAGGTTGCGTTAAAAATTATTTCTACTTAACTTTAAAAGTATGTTGTATTTATAGTACTTTACTTCACGTACATTTCTTCCTGTGTACTTACGGTACTTGAAGTACATAACCTCGAACTGAATTTGTACTTTACCTCAAGTACTTTTTGTATGTACTTTACGCAACACTGTAAAAAAATTGAACATTGTCTGTAAAATCAAGCTCAGGCAGAGCTAAACCTCAAAGCATAAATGATACACCCGGAGTACGTCATTGACCAGAAAACATAAAGTACGAAACAATTAATCACATAAAAGCAGAACCAGCTATTAAAGCATTTGTGTGAAAACACAAGTCGCTTTATATTTGGATAGCACAATCTCGCTAACAGATCGAAACCTTTGTGTACTTTCTTGTTACTAAAACATAAAAAATTAACGTCAAAAGTAACTCGGTACTTTGTCACGGTCGTTAGTAATTTACTTAATTACTTTCTATCTGAGTAACTTCTACTCTGCTCAAATTACTTTTGAGGTAACACTCAGTAACTTAACTTGATTACTTTTTTTAGTAACTTGTACATGTCTGCATCATATTTTGGAATACTTTTGGAGCCGATGATATTCCAAAAGGCAGTCTCTTGAACTTTAACCTTCCGAAGGGTGTAATGAAAGTCGTCAGATCTTGAGACTCTGCAGCAAGTTCGAACTGCCAAAATCCGGAGTTCGCGTCGACTTCCGAAAAGTGTCTTGCTCCAGCAAGCTGCCCAAGAACTTGTTCTCCTACTGAAAGGGGTTGAGCTTCCCGCTCGATGAATTTGTTCGGTTCGGTCAAGTCTACACATATTCCGATTTCTCCGTTGGTTTTTCGAACGATCACCATGCCATAGAATTGCTCAGTCAGCTCTTCAATGGGCTCAATAATTTCCATTTTAATCATCTCTTCAAGTTTTGTTTTGGTCTTACCAAGACCGGAAAATCTTCCCTTCGAGGTGTCATCGGTGCCAAAGGCTCAGCGTTAGGCCTCAGTTTGATCGTGTACGGTATCTTGATGTGGTCCAGTCCAGAAACTAGTTAGTATATTCTCTTTTTGGGTCGACTGTACTACTCTTCAGGAACTCAACTTGGTCAAGATGTTGAACAATGCCTAGTTGTTCGCTTGCATCTCTCGAGAGCAGCGGCTGTTCCAATGCTTCTACAATATAAAGATTTGTTCTAAAACTCTTGTCTCTTTTGTTAAGTGTCTCGTTCATGACACCAAGAACAGTCAGGGCCTTCTGACTTAAACCCTTTAGGACCTTCTTGGGGCTCAGTAGAGAAACATTCCTAAAAACGTCTCTGTATGTCCTGTCAAGGACCACGGTGACGTCAGCATCCGTGTAAACCTTCATTGTTATGGACACATCTCGGACGTCGACCATGACCTTCCACCAGTCTTCCTCTGAAGTTGACACAGTGCCGAGGAATGATGTGTAGGCAGTCGTTACTTCCTCTAGTGTGACAGGGCTTCTGCAAACATGCGCATAGTGTCCGAATTTTCTGCATTTGTTGCAAGCAGCTTTACGTGCGGGGCACTTGACTTTCTGATGCAACCCGTAGCCACATTTCGAAAAACTTTTTCGTTCGTTTGTAATCTGGAATGAGACGGTGTCGTCTTTCCCTTTTCTTGCTTTTCTTTGATCTCCCTTATTTTCAAGAGGCATTACTACCTTTTCAACCTTTTCTTCATGTGGAGTGCGATGAGTAACTTGCTGTTTCTTGACAGCCTCTGACTGTCGAGCCAGGTTCTTAGCCTTCCCGAGTACCAAGTCCGGGTCTAGTTGCATCTTCTCCGGCAGCTGGTGGTTGCAAACACCGACGGCGATGCTATCTCGAATCACTTCCTCGGGTAGAACTCCAAAATCGCAAGTCTTGGCAAGGCTATGGAGGTCAGTGATGAATTCTTCAATGCCTTCACTCTCTTGCTGGCTTCTCCTGTGAAATTTTGATCTTTCATTAATAATGTTTTGACGGACAACGAAGTACCGTTCGAATGCTAAAAGTACTTTGTTGTGCTTTGCCATCTTTTCTGCGTTAAGGTTCAATGACATGAGGACATCGTCTGCCTTATCACCCATAAAGTAGATCAGAGCGTTCACCTGTTCTGGCTCAGGCTTCGTGGAGAGGCCGCTAATTATGCGGATTCGAATCGCCGCTTCCAATGAGGTAATTCATCTGGGCTTGTAAAGTCGAATTCCTCGGGTGGCTGGCACTGGAACGATTTTGCGGTTGCCATCGCTCCCCGTTCCTGTTCAGGCTCGGAGTCCTGAACTTTTGACACCATCTGTGCTTCGACTAACTCAGAGCTCCCGGCTGCTGCTTGTCAGAACGCCATGTTTATTTATAATCCCTCTTCTTTCTCTTCGACGCTCTTAGCCCAACAGTACACTCACTGGCCCTCACGCGGCGGAGTTCCTAGGAACGCCACCAGAGAAGCCCTCTCCATGGCGGCGCAGCGGCCCGGCTGCCAGTGAGAGGGCGCGGGTGGCCGCCTAGCCAGCAGTGCCCGCACGGGCAGTCTCCGGAGGGGCTGCACAGCAGAGCTCGGCGTGGTGCGGCCACTTCACGAGAGCGCGCGTCTCGGCCGTCGGTATGTGCAAGCGAATCACGATTCAAAGCGTCTCAGGCGGCAAGAGGACAAGGCCCCTCGACAATGCGAGGCGGAAGCAATACGTCACAGGCGGAATGATTTCGCATTCACGACTCATAACAAGTGCTTATGTGTCCTCGGACCTTTTTTTTTTTTTTTTGTATTAATTTAGTGGCTGCGGCACGGTAACCTGGGAACGATCATGGAATTGGTGACGTAGCTGATGACGCCACCGGAAGTTTTGGCGAAGTAGGTCCACGCAATTCCCCCGAGAAGGCCATTAATAGCTGTCACTGGAAAAAAACGAGCACCACGAAAGGAGCGCTTGCGACGTGACAATAGCTGTAGTCGCAACTGAACTTCATGACATGAAAATTAAAAAAGGAAAATGAAACACATAACACTCTACCATCAGATTACATTGGTGCCCACACAACAAAACGCCCTGCATCTTTACTTCGTCCCTAGGGGCAAAATCTTTCAGCGAGCCATCGGTGGCTCTTTCTGACGAAGAAATATATATTTTTACAACCCACCATGAGTGGCACAAATAGTGTGAACTAACCCCCCTCAACTATAAGGGCCACGCGTAGGGCATTTGTTGTGTGCACACAATGTTGTCATGCGTTTCCTTCTTTGTCTTTCTTCCTGATAGTAACGTTGTTATGCCTTTCCTTCCTTGTTTTTCTTTTATTTTCAAGTAGCAAAGATCAGTTGCTAGTACAGCTGTTGTCCTGTAGCAAACGTTCCTATCGATGTCCTGTTTTGTTCTTTTTTGTAGCTGTTTCTTTATTATGATAAATTATATCCAGAAATAGAAATTTGATTATCATAACCCGCCTTTCTAACTAATATTTGTTATGTATTTATGCAAAAGAGGCCGACAATCACGTGTAGAATTTGATGTACCTTGCTTTGGTTTATGGGAAACATTTTTCGTGAATATTACTTTCGCACTATAGTTCATAACAGCTTTTTTTTTTTTGTTGTTGTTGTTTTAGTTACAATTTATTCATCGAATGGTTATGTTTCAATTCGGAAATATAGCATTTTTAACCAGGCAAGCTAAAACCAACGCTTTCAGCTCGACAAAAATTTGCGACTTATGAAGAAGCACATATCGGATGAATCAGCTACACAAATAACCTTGATACTTTACCTGCTACGAGCTCTCTCAGCTCTCGTTCCAGACTTTCCAAGTGCCATTCCTTGGATTCGCTGACAACAACGCAAGCTGTCGGAGCTTCCCCGTACTTCGAACTCGGTATGCCGACCACTGCGGCTTCTACAACCGCCTCGTGCGAGGTCAGGATATCTTCCAGCTCAGCAGGAGTCACTACGTTTCCCATGCATTTAATCATCTGTTTGAGCCGATCTATAATGTAGATATGTCCATCATCATCATAGTAGCCAATATCTCCTGCAAACAAAGTACATGAGAGTCAGGTCGTTTATTGTTAGAAAATTTAACAACTTTACCCGTTTCGTGTCTATCGATTTTGCACATAATTCTGGGTATAAAAACATTTTATTGGTGAAATTCAAACGCAGACCATGCTTGTCCTCTAGCGCCGGCTTTTGATCAATGCCTGAATAACACTATAGAAATACGATGGCACTGTCTCGACTCAAGCATAGAATTGAAAACTGGACGTTCTCAGCGGCATATAATATCTTATGGGTTCAAGTCTTGTTTTTCGTTATTAGGCGCCGTCGTTCTTTCCAAGTTTTTTTTTTAATTATCATTGTTTCACTTGTTTTTCCCAAGACTATTTTTGATCAGTTGGTCATTATATATTTTGCTTAAAGAGCGTCTGTATTATTAATGCACACGAGATGGAAAAAAAAGATGCCCGACTGCAAAACGAACTTGTTCATACCTCGTAGTTTACTTCACTTCTTCTAGCGTTAAAAGATCTTTGACTATGCTTTCGGCATTTCGTGGGGCCCGAAAGTAAAGCCTGGACAAAAGCATGGCCGCGATGCTCGATACTGATTGGTTGACGATTAGAAGAGGAGGAGTGAAGCGCTCGATGCTCACTGGTTAACGGGGGGTCATGTGACCAGAGGGGTAGGCGAGGAGGGATGATGAAGGCGAGGAGGAGCTACACCACCTGTGCGCACTGAGGTAGAGAAGCTCAAGTGTATGGAAGGCGTTGGACGATCGTCAGGTTTATCTGCCCGAATAGTGGTAGTATCGCGTCGTTCTAGGGAAAAAACTGTCAAGTGTACATATGCATATGATACGCGTTAAACTACCTGATGAAGAGCGCTGCGAACGTCTGGAAACTCAGAGTATCGCTAAACTTTTGTGATGTTGGAACATTTCCCGTATGGTACCCAATTGTCTAGCGATTCGCCATTATTTTTATTCAGCAATTCTCATCATATGTTTTGTTCAAGTTCATAGTTTTGTGCCTCTTGTTTTCTTGAATTTCTAAGGTCGCTTTAATTTTGCTTCTCTAAGCATTGTTACCCATACTTCTTTCTCTTGCTCAAGTACTACTTCTCTTCCCTTTTAAACGATTCAAACTAACATAAAAAATTGGACACTTTATTTTGCCAAGGCCAAGGTATATTATAAAAAAAAACATAGCCCTCACGATAACTTCACAATAAATCTGTCACTATTTTTAACCTTTCTCGAAATTTCAAAACGTTTCAGTTGAACTAATATGCCGCCTAGTAAAATGGTTAAGAAAAAATTAGAACAAATAATGTCATTCCTATATCCTCCGAGCATCTAAAAATGACAAACGCATGCACTAGAAAAAAAAATTAAAATTATAAGGAAAGTCAGGGAATACACCACTCCCTAACACAGGGCTAAAAGAGGGTGATTCACTCAAGCACACACATTAACACGCACTAATATCTGAGAAACGACTGCCTTAGGACAAGCCATTCATTTCACACGAGAATAATGTGGAATACGTCAACAATCTCACCGGTACGAAACCAGCCATCAGTGCCCAAGACTTCTCGAGTGTCTTCCGGATGACCGTAGTAGCCCTTCATGAGATTTCCACTCTGAACCACCAGTTCGCCTTTTTCGTTGGGGCCGAGAGGATCTCCGCTGACGAGGTCTATTATCTAGATCGTAAAAGCGAACATTCTGACTATTTCTTTAGGTAAGCACTTATTAAAAGTATGAAGGAGCTACAGAAGATCTTTCAGTTTTCTCTTTGAAGCCATCGGGATATTCCAGACTAAAAACTGCATGTGTTTTTAATAATATATGGCGAATCATAAAATACTAACGACGTAATTAACTACGTGCACTCGTTGTGAACAACGAAGTGACATCTCAAAATGTTGAAGCGAGAAATCAGACACATTTGAAGTCGACTTTTTAGAAAATTTTACTAGTTAATGTTTGATAAAAAAAAGCCTAACACTCGGGCGAGAAACAAAATATCAGGGAAGACCTCTTTATTGAATTTCTTCCAAAGTTAATGAACATGTCAACATATCTCATCTCCAAAGAAAATAATAATTTTACGCGAAATTCTAGAACGAAAAGAAGCCAAGAAAGCTCCACGTGCCCTGCGCCAAATTTTGCTATATTTCGTCATGGAACCGCTTGGTGCTATCCAGGTTCACTTCTAGCCTGTTCAGAACGCGATTCGTTTCGAAAAATGTACAGGGAGCTCTCAAGAAATAAGAACCGTGTTTTTCGGCCCGTGTAAATAACTACGTACGCATCGCAGAAACCTTAGACTCCGTGAAACGGTGACGCTAGGGGTTAGAACAGAACGCTAAAGTTTGAGAACATGACGTTACCTGGAACAAAAGACTACCGAAAAAAAGTTAAATTTCTTTTTGAGCCGACGTCCGCCTAAGCCTAATGTAGTCAAAACTAAAATTGTGGGCCCCTGTAGCATGTAATTTAGTGACACTAACTCGTCAGAAAGAAGAAAAAGTATTTTCTTTCTTGATGAAAGTGTTTTTCACTTATATAAATCCAACAAGCGTACGCAATATCAGTTGAAATTTTGACGATAATAGGCTTAGGTGGACTTCGGCTTGTACTGGCAGTTTCAAGGAGCGGCCAGGCTCTTTAAATCGACCGCAAAATTCGGTTTCTTAACCTATCGCGCTACAACTTTGTGCGGCCTTGCCCACAGATGGTGCTTTCTTTTGTAAAATTTGCAAAGACCGAACTTACCTGAGGAAAACGTAAAGAAGGAAAAAGGCTTAGCTCCTATAAAAAACGCAGCGAAGCCATACGGTCTTCAAACCATAGGGCGCATTGTTTGAAGACCGGTGTCTTCGCTGCGTTTCCATAGGAGCTACGCCTTTTTCTTTCTTTACTTTTTCCTCAGGAAAGTTCGCTCTTTGCTAATTTTACAAAAGAAAGCACCATCTTTTGGCAACACTGCACAAAGTTGTAGCGCGACAGGTTAAGAAACCGAATTTTGCGGTCGGTTTAAAGAGCCTGGCCGCTCCTTAAAACACCTAGTAGATAAATTTCCTTGTTCTCTTGTTCTCTATCGTTCGTGTTCTATCTCAACTGCTAGCTTCACATTTCACAAAATTTGAGCTTTCTACGATGCGTAGTTTATTTATACGGACACAAAAACACAATTCCCTTTTCTCTGAAACTTGTATTGGCTCCCGAAATAGGCTAGTGGTCCAATCCGGAAGAGCGGCGCGCCACCCGGCATTATTTTTCCGTCCTGCAGTCAATCCGGATAGAATGCCCCTTTGAACTTCATCCGGCATTTTCGGCATTTCATGCAAACCAGCGGCTCAGCGAATTCAGCCAATCAGTGCCGATGATTGGCATCAAAAAATTATGTATTATAAAAACGAAGAATTTTTGAAGAACATCCAGGTAAGTTATATACCAATCACTTCTCGATCACTCATACATCAATCGCTTAAGAGTAATGACGTTTAAGATTACTTTTTTATTTGCTTCGGTGTGCGGGTCAGTGCAAATTCTTTCTCGATGAAAAACAGTGCGCCCGTTAGGTTTTTCGAATCGACCATCTAAAGCAGGGGTCTCAAACACACAATTGCGACTATCCTGGACGCTGCTCGCAAGCATCTCGCGGCTGAGGAGCCTCCGTCCCCATGCCTTGAACGCCGCATGTGCAATGAGTATTATTTTTATGTCGCAGAATCATTTCCAGTGGAAAAAGAGCTCTGTTTATATATCGTGTTCACCCATTTTACTATTTTGTTGTTCTTGTTCTTTGGACGGAGTATTGCTTCGTCCAAATGTTTCCTTCTCAGCCTGTTTCGTCTAAATCAACAGGAATGGCAATACCACTACTAGGCTTCTAGTGCGAAACTCCTTGCTCAAGGAGGCACTTTGGCGGCACGAATTCTTGCTCAGGAGGAGCAACTGGCAAAAAATAGAACTATGACTTCGGGAATCTAGCTGTTAGGCAATACTTTTAAAATTAAAGTATTTTCTTATGATGCTTCTATAAAAATCGTGAGGAAAGCAAAAACTGCCATACGCGGATATCTTTTTTCCTATGCCTGTTCAGCCTAATGAGTTGTGCCACAGGGCAAAGGACGGTGCTTTTCAAATCTTCTTATAACATCAGGTGAGGCCCGACATAGTCGTAGTATATGCAGATGAAAGCTAAAAATGGCGAAACGGTGTATTTACAAAAATCAGAAAGCACAAGTTCGTTGTCAACGAAATTTTTATTGTGTCACTGGGACAGTCGCTGCTGTGCAACGTGAAATACCATTGCTATTTCTTAGTATATTTGTGTACCAAAGTATAAAATAGGCCCCCCCCCCCCTCCCCCGGGGGACTGCTACTCGTTCTTTTAGGTCTCTACTATCTGGCCCCTTACACAGAAGTTAGTTTGAGACCCCTGATCAAAAGCAGCGAGATGGACGAAGACATCACTAGAGTATATTGAGGCGTATATTTTCTCGTGTTTGTTCATTTTTATACGGACAATCAAGGAATTCAGCACTTTCGAACTGCCGGGTATTTGTAAGAAAAATGTAACTGTGTATTTTATAACGCAAATTTAAACTGCGAATCACCCGACGCGCAGTCTTCGCCCGCACGTAGCACTGAAGGTTGAGAAGAGGTACCAAAGTTTCAGGACCGACTGAAGCTGAATCAAAAGTTATGAACGCGTATACATTTCAATTAAATCATTTACAGCTAACGGAGCCCGCAAATACGAGCAAAATAAAAAGCGCCACTCGCAAAAAAACAGGCCACGTTTTGTTATTGAAAATTTCCTAAAGTCTCCTATAAATTTTAAATGAAATAATTCTAAGTTGTAAAACTTTGGAACCTTTTTTCAGCCGCCATGCTCCGACGGAAATTCCCCTTTCGACACTGTGTTTGTGTGTTTGTGTGTGTGTGTGTGCGTGTGTGTGCGTGTCTGTGGTGTTCTTTGTTGTTTTTTGCGATATAAAAAACAAGGTTTTTTTTCCCTCCCAGGCACCCGCTACCTTCTTTTGCAATATTTTTACGACGTGATCTTTTTAGACCGTTTGCCGGTCACCACATCAATATATCAATGTATTCATATTTGTACCGCAGCAGAATACGATTTGACACATAAAAACTCTCAGCCTGACAGCTAAATTCAACTTAGAAAAGAATACGGATGATCTGAAATTATGAAGCAATATAGAATATATAGGGTGTCCCAAGTCACCAGGCTCAATCTAAAATGGACCATAAAAATCGACGTCTGCATGTACCAATCTAAACTTTTCGTCAAAGGTGTATTTCACCAGTCAGTTTTTTCTTGTATAATTAGAAAGTGTAGCTCTCTTTCTGTAAAATATAGGGCGAATAAACTTGCCAGGGTCAATGGAGGGCGGCGACACACACGACGAAGTCGAGTTGCGGAGTGTGTTTGGCGCGCGTATTGATAAATGGCGCTACCTCTTTATCGACACTGTTCGCGACCACCGTGGTTTATTAAAATGGACATAATCTTTTTGTAATAAACCATTGCTTTAAAAATAAATACGCACAATAAAACCAAAACTGAAACTAAAATAAACGCTTTTGCTTAACGACGGCGCATTTGCTGCCAACGGATTTCGTCAGCGTGTCGTCCGCTTTCTTTCGCCGGTCGGCTACACCTTCGGAGTCCGGTGCTGCACCCGACGCCATCTATCAATACCCGCGCCAAACACACACCGCAACTCGACTAAGTGGTCTGCGTCGCCGCCCGTCGTTGACCTCGGCACGTTTCTAGGCCCTACTTTTTTATAGAAAGGGACCTACGTTTCTTAATTTTACAACCAAAAAAAAACGACCTGTGAAATGCAGCTTTGACGAAAAGTTTAGATTTCTACGTGCAGAAGTCGATTTGTACAATGCTTTTTAGATCGAGCCTGGTGACTTGGGACACCCTATATTTATATATACGTACTTTGGCTTTTGTGCCAGCGCAAGGAAAGCCGACGCTGCCCATGCTGATTTGTCCGACAGGAGTGCAGCTCACAAATCCATTTGTTTCAGTCATGCCATAGAAGTTGACGAACGATTTAACGTTGAAGAACTTGCATATCTCCGTTCGAAGTGAATCAGATATCGCAGTCCCTGCGACCGCGATCTTTTTAAGACTCGCAGCAGGATAGTTGTTCATTTTCGCTTCGTTGACAACCTCACGCAGCCGATCAGGAAAGCCTAGCGTTACGGATACCTGTAAAGTAAAAGGGGGTGTTTCACTGTCCCCTTGAACTTGTCATTGTCCAGTCTAGTCATATTTGTATTTAATTTTTTGCACGTAAATTCTACCCCTTGTTATAGAACGCAAAATTCAAATACGCTGATGCAAAAAAATACGGGATAGAAAGCTTATTTTAGCAGTGCATGTAGCCAGTAGAACTTTGGTTGGGGCTAGTTGGTTCATGTCGATGACCATGTACCCAGGTAGCACACTAGAGAAACGTCTAACTTGTCCTAAGTTTTGCAAGTCTGAGGGCTTAACTGGAACACAATATTGTTTTTCTCTGAGTAGTTAGTTACTACAAAAGAGCTTTATTTTTCTTCTTTTTTTTTTGGGGGGGGGGAGGGGCCTTTTGTATATTTATTTTTTGTTTGCCACAAAATTTCTAAGGTGCCAGTCATGAGCCAAGAAAGTCAAGTACCAACCAAACGCCCGCCAGTGAAGCCTAACTATCTCACTCATTTGGAAACAGCCAAAAATTTCTCAGATGACAACAAAAGAACAACCAGCGAAGTCTAACTCTGGCACTTCTTTGGCCATTTAAGCGCAAAATAGCGAGACTCCGACCAAATAATATCAAGGTCAAGGTATACATTTCCTTTTTGGTGATTTTAGGGCATTAAATTGCCAAACAAACACATACGTTAGGTCTAAAGAACAGATCTACTTGCGCGTTTACGGAGTGTGACACAAACATGTGGTAGGAATACAAACAGCAGTTATGCTTTGGAACAAGCCATATTCGAGAGCGTATAAGACCTCTAATTTTAATATTTAAAGACGTTATTTTTTGTGTTATCTGTACTGAAATCAGTCGAGTTAAAACAAAACCATCGGAACACCCGTAACATTCAATTGTAAGAGAGCAAAAAAAAATGTGTCTGCAATATTTCGCTTTTCAAGTGCTTGCGCTAGTTTTTTCAAAAGAAAAAAAAAACTAAACGCTTGCAGCGTTTCCTTGTGCAAAGTCTTTCGTTATTTTATTTATATTTTTGCTGTCTTAATTGTTTTTGTTTTCTTCATAAAAAAATATACTGGTTTGAGTGACTGTAAGTCCTAAAGCCCCTTTTAGTATTAGTGTTTGTCATGCAAGTAGCGCGAAATACGCCAAAGCATGATGCCCCGGTCCTATGTAGCCCCTTGGAAGCCAATGGCGGCACAGCGAATTGCGGCGAAACTCTTGCTCGGAGCACGTGTTTTGCGCGGTACCACAACAATGATTGTCGGATCGTCGGTACTTCGATTAAACACAAGGCGTGAGGGGCTTACCACCTAACTAGGAGGAATAACCTTTATTACGTGTACCCCAGCCCCCGACTTCGGTGCACACAAGTCAATAAAAGCGCATGATACTTACACAGATCATACAAAAGTGCGAAAAAACATAGAAAAACAATACTGTAAAACCCTTTATTTTCGCGGCCCCTATTTTTCGCGAATCGGTCACAGATGACATAATCGCGACCACTAAATTTCGCGAATTCCAGGCGCCTGCATTGAAAACCTTAAGGACCGAAATTTTCGCGCGCCCTTAAATTTCGTGAATTCTTCAATTCGCGAAATTCGCGAAAATTGAGGGCTCGCGAACATAAAGGGTTTTACAGTATATGACAAAAAAAAAATTACACTCGATGCACCGTTGTATTCCCAACAGCGTTATGTGTGCTCGAGCGAGGTTTTCTTACTTGATGTTTAGCCAGAGTCTCCAAAAGGTCTTTGCACGAGATGGAAGGTTCGGTGATTACTATCTTTGCCCCCAGGCACATGTTCACGACGCCCACCATGAACCCGGAGACGTGAGTTAAGGGATTCCAAGCGAGCGTGACGTCGTCTTCCGTGAAAAGCCCGGATGCCCTGTAACAAGGCCGACGAACCGTCACTGGCAGAATGAGAACTGCTGAAAGGCCATTCAGTTGTCCCATTTCCGACATCATCTCCCTAGAGTCACCGCCAAGATAAGAACGTTAGGGAGATTCTTCGGTTGTCCCACTAGCTTTTAGCGCGAGGTTCTTAGTTTCCATAGCACCAAGGTATCTCGGGAACTTCGAGCGTACATGCGCAGCCAAAGCACGGTGGAAGGCGAATAGCACTTATTTGAGGCCGGTCGCCTGAAAGAGACGCCCTTCCGTTCCCAAACGGTCAGTGAAGGTAAAAGTAAACAAAATTTGGGAAATGTCCACGTTTCAATTAAAACTTTTTTTTCTGGCTTCTGTGTTGTCAAGTACGTGTGCGGTAGACTGAACCCGTTCAAGAGCATAAAACCGATTACCAGACGCAAAACAAAAAAAAAACGACATTAGGAAGACAAACAAAATTATGCTGTGTTTGGTCATTATTTTGTGTGTCTAAATATATTTTCTGCTGCCTGTTGACATGGGGCCTGTCTCAGTATATCATATGCCTTCGTCGCGATTTTTAACCTTACCAGATAGCGTCAGAGTTAGAAAATATACTTTAGTTGATTTCTTCGTGTGATAGGGGAATGATCAGGAAGAGATTAAATCACACTGACATAAAAAATATTTTTCTTTTCGCGTCCAAAAAAGCGTTATAGTTACCTTCCGCTCACGCTTAAACATCTGCGACACAAATGGACCTTTCCGTAAGGCGTCACCTTTCTTTCTAAACGAAAAAACCAAACATTGGACAGTGTTTCGTAGCTCCTCAATTATTAGCGCAATGTACGAGGTAATTTTACTTTGAAATGAATCACCCACTCATGTGCTGATGCGTATGATCTAATCTAAGTTTGAAGTGTAGCAGAAAATAGATGTACTTAAGACGCGATGCCACGGCAGTCGACCCCAGCATGCGTATCCTGTCGTGATTCATTTTTTTATTGAAGTTCTAGGACGCATCTTGTTGAAGACCAACATGTGAGAAGACTCAGCCGAAAAACTTCTAAGGGGGGGGGGGGGGGGGGGGGGGGGGCGGCGGGAGATAAGGAAAGAGACAATAATGAGAGATCAACATGGTAACAAGCACCTCCCGAGTATTCTTTGTAACGTTGCAAATATTTTGGCCCTGCCCAGAGGATCCACAACATGTGGGAACCCTGTTTCGTTACTCGGCACCTCGGTTGGGTGGTTTTCAACTGCTATCAAGTTAAAGTTCAAATAGCTCGTGGGGCTGCAAAAAAGCGTCACTTCTCTTGAGCACATTGAAGTCAACCTGCAGAAACGTGCGTGCAATTTCCTTTGAGGAGCTGACAGAAAAGGGATCTGTCAAGATCAACATACAGATTGCTGTGTCGACAAGCTTGAATTGGAATACATAGCTGCTACATATATTATGGTGCCACAAGCTTCACTGATTTCTAATGCTGCAGCGGTTTTGCAAGGGATTCAGATCAACAAAAAGTTGCGCAAAAAGACCTCATTATTCAAGCTTGAATGTCAAATGCTCAGCGTCGAAAACAAAAAGCCAAGGTTTGATATCTTGAAGCCAGACCTTTTCGACGGGCCATGCACCAGTCCAGAAGGTTGGATCGCTTTCTACGAGTTTTCCTGTGAGAAAAACCTCTACACCTCACAAAAATATCGGATTGAATATATACCCCTCTTCCTTGGAGGAGAAGCTAAGCATTGGTACGAGCTGAGCTTGGCTGACAACCCGGACGAACCTGTGGCTGCGCAGGTACTACGCAGCCACAGGGCCGGCAGTGAGCTTGGAAAAGTGCTGTCGGTTCTGGCATAGTTCCTGGGCCACAACTCACAGCGAATTTGAAGTAATTTAATGGGGTTGCACACCGTGCAAACACCTCAGAGTGCCGTTAGAGCACTTCAAAGACAGCACTACTTTCTGGTCGGGAGTGACGATAGACCTGCAAATGCGCGCGAAGCGCTGGGCCCACCGGGATGTGTCGATCTTCACTAGGTCGACCATCTGCAACCTGTTTCTCGTGGCCAAGCTTTGGTACGTCTTGCAGGTTATGAATTGCGCAAGGTGTAACATTTAGAAATTCCACCGCGTATTTGCCGTTGCTGTCTGGAAATACACCTGGGAGCCTATGCGTTGGGACAACCTCTTTCGTCGCATCCCAGCAGGAGGCATCAGTCTACCGCACGTATTCTTCCGCCTGCTGGTGTCAATATTTCTTTTTTAAGAGACCATGAGACCTTCTTTCTTCGCGGAATGATCCAGAACAAACTGGGTGGCTTCCTTCCAATTTTTGTGGCGTCATCGGTAGAGTGTGTGGATTAACCCAGGATGTTAGTAGGCTATTTAATAAAGGTTGTTGATGCTTTTAACTTTGTGGTGGTTAGGTTTTCTAGAAAACATCTGGCGACTGTGACCAAACAAAAAATTTCGAGGAACCTTGTGGATGTTTTTTTTTTCCAACGCCGATCTATCAAATCGTGTTCAGTGATAGTCCAGCTCATATGTACTGTGCCACGTAAAAGGGGTCAGCGTTTTTCCGGGAGCCAGAACATTATTCTTTTAAGTTGCACTGTTCTGTGCTTCCTTCTAAAACCTGGCACGATGAAAAATGTATTTCTGTCTTTTTGACATTAAACTGTTTGTTGTGCAAATTACCAGAAACAGTTGAGCCTATTTTTATTGACTGCTGGGACGCGAACTTTTTGGGGGGACGTCTTGTAGCGCACTCTACAAAAATACATTGTTATCTCACCAATTTCTATACGGTTTCTACCTACTGAAAAACGACACTGCTTCAAATTACCTTATTGCATTTTTAAGTTTGTATGGCATATGGGAATTTCTAATGGATGTAAGGAACGCCCTGCCTGAACAAAAATCTGTGCGGCAAATTTTTATTTACTTAGCAGCACAAGTTAAAAATGTCCACAATCGCGAAATTGTTCCCGACTGGTTTCCATGATTCAATTACCTGATGGTAATGCAAAATATTGAATGCAATGACATGGGAACCGCCTCTTTTGTCCTAACTATTGTGTATGTGCTGCGTCGCTCTTTCTTTCCGTGCATTAAAGAAGAAAAAAAGCTGTGGAGAAACTTAGTGTTAATACCTCAGCTTCGCCTGCAGCGGACCCAGGTTTGATTCCCGCAAGTGGCGGGTGACCTTTTAAAGGATTTAGAAACATTGGCGACGGACGTCATACATCGCGAACTACTGCATCAACAACTGCAGCTACTGCAACTACTATAACTACTACACCAGCAACAACATCGAAACCGGACTTTAATTTCAGTGGTGGGAAGGGCCCATAAGAGATATCGCTGTAACCTCGAGGCGAAGTAAACTATACCACCGCTGAGAAAGGGGCTCTGGCAGTGTTGAAAGTTGTCCGGTATTTTCGTTTCTACCCGGAAGGTTTGAAATGCAAGCTTTTTATTGGCTATGGAGCGCTCACGTTCCTACTCAAAATGACCGAGGCAAAAAATAGCTCCCTAGATAATAGTTACAGCAGCTCGACTTCGCAGTCAGTCACCGTTCTTGTTTTTCATTCAATGACGCCGATGGAATCTCAAGACTTCAATTTCGAAACTTTGCTGAGCACATCCCAGGATGTGAATTCCTCAAAACTCCGGCGTGGAACAGAGAGCCTCATACAAGAACCGAGTGGAACATTTCACGTTCCGCTCACAGCGGTGCCCCATATTCCAGAACTGTATCACACACGCCCACTCAGAAGGTCATGATGAATTCTGGAAGTCAACAAAACACTTAACGCGGCCGCACATGGACGATTACATGATTACATGGGTGATTACCAAACGTACAATGTGAAGTACAAGCAATCTATGAATTCAACGATGCTGCATCGACACTCCAAGACGCCTTAACAGGGTATCCACCTTGATTTTACAAAGATCAAGAAAAAGTGCTACGGGTTGAGGAAGATTCAAGCCTTTCTAGTCTGCACTGATGAATGCACACACATAATAGAAGCAAAGGCAGGTAGAAAAAGCGCAAACAGCATGATCGCTTTACTCAACAAAAAATATATCGCCAAGTGAAAATTGTCATTTTAGAAAATGAAACAGCTTATTGTGGTCAAAAACTAAAACGAAAAAATGGGCAGAAGAACGCAGTATAGCATTGAGGTCCACAGCACCCTACCACCCATCTAAAAATGGTCTAGCTGAGCGCACCATTAGAAATATCAAACAATATAAGAAGATGTACAGTCGTGTGCGATATGAAGGTGAACGCCGGGCTGTCGACCGCTCCGGGCTATCAGCGTCATGGCGCAGCTGCCGTGGCAGCCACGTCATGGCGCTGATAGCACGGAGCGGTGGATGGTCCGGCGTTCACCTGCACATCGCGATAAGAAAGCGAGGCGTCACGGCAGCCGCGACATAGCGCTGATAGCACGGAGCGGTCGACGGTCCGGCGTTCACCTTCATATTCCCGGCGGGTGTACCCCTATTTTTTAGGAGGTTGGAAATGTCGCCTTGAAGTTGCGGTAGCACATTACAAGGGATCCTAAACAGCAAGGCTGGGATGTAGTCCTTTCTTTGCAATCTCGGAAAAGGCAACGTTGCTGCCGGCTGACATGTACTCGGGACCTCATCCCAAGTTTATATAAAAGGGTGGAGAAAGACGGCGTCTCAAGAAGGAAGACTTCGCCTTGTGGGAGTTCTCGGTGACCTCGAAAGTTTTGTGCAGGTGATGTGAAGTGGTACCTTTGCTTTTGTTGTTTCTTCGAATCGGTATATTGAGTTTGCCTTCTTGCGAGTGTTGCGGGTGACGGCGGATGTTATATTGTTCTACTGTAGGGGAAGTTCGTTTGGTTCGATTCGGTTTCTTCGAATCGGGGTCGTTAGGCCTGGTCCATTTGAAGTGTATCGTGGGGTTGACTGTAGAAAGATCTAGTGATGGTGCGGGTCGTTCTATAAAAAGGACGAGTCAGAAAAATTAATTCGCTGCTGTGTTTTTAGACTTCGTCGTGTTTATCCTTCTTGTTTCTCCTGTCTCAGGGTTGTCTTAATTCATGTCTCAAGAAAACAAATATTGGCAGGTGATTAATTATTTTATTAAACAAAACAATATACTGAGCTTCCCAGGCGCAAGTGGGTGACTTCGTCTTGGTTCGGAAAGGCTTGCCATGGCTTCTGCTTCATAGTTTATGGCTTTTACGAAATCGCGAAAACTGCAGTGTAAGAGGGACTTCTCAAGACCGTGTGCTACATTGGGCCCAGCAACGTGACAGAAAGTGCACCTGTTACCAAGGTTTATAAAATCATCCCGGGAGAGATAGATACTCAAGCCGAGGAGGAAAGTAAAGAAGGCCAACGTGAGAGAAGGCGAAGTATGAAGAATCTAATATAAAAGAAGATGAAGAAAAAATAAGATATGGTGAGTGTGCGTCTTGAGTATTCCTTGGAACGTTACACATCTAAATAAATTTCAGCGGGGTTCCAGCTTCTAGTATATGTTAATAATATTCCTGTATCTTAAAGGGCAACTCCGGTCAATATTTTAGAATTAGGGATTACGACTGTTTTCAGCTAGAGCAGTGTCCCTTCCCTATATTACAGGGTATCTTTTTTTCTCTCGGTATTATGTGTAGTTTTATAAGTACCACGGCTCAACGTTTGGTTTCGCGCGTCTACAGCGAAACCGAAACTATCTGCTAGAGGGATGGCAGCAATGAATATCAACCGTACGACCATGACGTGACGTCACAAGGGCTAACTTGATCGCCGCCCGCTAAACAGCAGTTGATTGCATCTTAAAAATCGGTTTAAGTGGAGTGCGCGGCTTCACTTTTACGTAATATGTCGGCAGTGATCAGATTTCGTGCTACTAAAGCGATACCACTCATTTATTTTGGTTTTGTTTTCAACCGGAGTTTCCCTTTAATAATATGATTGTTCCTTGAAGTGCAGGTGAAGTGTGTTGGGATAGCTCAATTCATAAGGAACGCGTACCGTAAGATTTACTACACTCATGACTCGTTAATATGGACACCTACATTCCCCAACAAATCGCTCAAAATGTGAGTCGTCCGTGATAACGAGACAAAAGTGAATGTTTTAGTCAGTGTCAGTTCATCCCCGAAAATTTTGTGTCTATATAGCGGGGCATCTATAGCAAGGGGGGCAGTATTAACGAGACACGAGTGAATTACAATTTAATGGAAGACCAAGTTGGTGGCCGCTTAAAACGTAGCATTTAACTTGCTAATAGAAAGTCTGAAAACACTCACCATTCACCTACCTTCGATCATATGTACCATTGCATCTTACGCTGTAAAATTAACCGAAACAATCTACCATCGACGCCTGCACATAAAAATCTCGAACCTTCACCAACCGTGCTTTAAGGTGGTGCATTTTAGCAGATGATATTTTAAGGCATAGCTTTCTTTCTGCGAGAAATCAGACCCACACACCGTGTCAACGGCGGATGGGTTGGCAGACGACCGAGTAGGCGATGTTTGTAACGCGTGGTGCCATCTCCCGATAGACGCTACGAGCAGACGATAGAATGTGTCATTGGGAGGAGGTGTCACGCGTTACAAATGTTGATAATTCGGTTATCTGCGTGCCCGTTCATCGTTGACCCCGGCAAGTTCGTTGGTCTGATTTGTCACCAAAAAAAATCTGTCTTAAGATTTTATCAGCTAATATGCATCACTTACAAGCACGTTTGGTGAACGTGACATCTTCAAATGCGCAGGTGTCTATATTTTCTGGCGTGTTTTACTATGTGAGATCCGCTGGAGCCACACTATATACAAATATAAAATGTGAACGACCCACAACGTACTGCAAAGCGCGATAGCAGGAGATGTAAGCCCTGTGCGATAGTTCCACGGCTTTCGGAAGCCCCGTTGTTCCCGACGTGTACAGCATCACCACGACCTCATCAGTGTTGTCAGCAGGCACGTGGGGCTTCAAGTCAGTCTCGGAAAGCTCTTGGAACTCGAGGACGTCGATGAAACCGGGAGCGCTTCCCACGGAAAACAACCTCTGGGAAGTCGAGAAAAGGCCTCTCCGTCGTCGGTTGGGTTTCTAAGTGCTGACACGGTGCTCAAGTGCCCAGGGAGTACACTGTGCATCACTGTTAGCGCGAACGCGTTCGCATTTTACTATTGGCGGGCACCAATGTTCACAGCAGACTTTAGTGCTCCAAATGAACTCATTTCACCACACTACTAGCTTCGATCAAGGCCTTTTTGTTCTATAGGAATAACACTGTGATTGATTGTTTGCGCTAACAGTGACGTCCAAAGCACAATATGCATAATGCATACGCAGATGGACTTACAACGAAAGAGACACACAAGAGGACGAAACAGACGACACAGCAGATGATATTTTAAGACATAGCTTTCTTTCTGCGAGAAGTGAGATCGACATGCCGGTGTTTCGTCCTCTTGTGTGTCTCTCGTTTTAGGTCAATGTAGATCACCAACATGCTCAAGCCTTTAATCATACACAAATTCTTTCAAATAAATACTTTTTAGAGCACAGCTCTTAGGGGCCCGTTTCCGGCTTGAGCGGCGTCGGCGTCGGCGTAATTGCGCGGTGCATTATGGGTAAATTTCCCCGCTTAATCTAGCGGAAAAATTTCCCCGCTAAATCTAGCGGAAACATTTCCCCGCTAGATCTAGCGGAAAAACTTCCCCGCTAAGTCTAGCGGGAAATATTCCCCGCTGAATCTAGCGGAAAAATTTCTCCGCTAGATTTAGCGGAAAAATTCCCCACTAAATCTAGCTAAAAAAAATTTCCCCGCTAAATCTAGCGGAAAAATTTCCCCGCTAAATCTAGCGGAAAAAAATTCCCCGCTAAATCTAGCGGAAAAATGTCCCCGCTGAATTTAGCAGAAAATGTCTCCGCTAAATCTAGCGGAAAAATTTTCCCGCTAAATCTAGCGGGAAAAATTCCCCGCTAAATCTAGCGGAAAAATATCCCCGCTAAATCTAGCGGAAAAAATTACCCGCTAAACCTAGCGGAAAAATTTCCCCGCTAAATCTAGCGGAAAAAATTTCCTGCTAAATCAAGCGGAAAAATTTCCGCGCTAAATCCCGGAAAAAATTCCCCGCTAAGTCTAGCGGAAAAATTTTCCCGTTAAACCTAGTGGAAAAAAATCCCCGCTAAATCTAGCGGAAAAAATTCCCTCTAGCGGAAAAATTTTTCTGGGGGGTCACGTGACCCCCCAAGGTCACATGACCCCCCCCCCCCCCCCCCCCCGCCCCGAGAAGAGGTGACCCTCAGTACCTTTCCCTCCTCCTCCTCAAGAGCTGCGCTCCAATTCGGTGTTACAGGGAGTTGTAAACGGCTTTCATTTTTTTCACGTAAGTTTGACTTTTTTTCAAATTTATGAATAATTTGATACCTTATACTAAAAAAGCAATATCCAGTAACTGCTGCTCCCCACGGGCTGTTGTGTCTTCCTTTCTGCAACGCTTCGAGCCGTAAAAACGTGTCAAAATACCCAATGGCGTCAGTCACGCCCAGTGAAAAACTGAGGACATTTTGACATGCAAGTGGAATTTTAACACGGTGACCGAAACCTGAGCGTACGGTTTCGCCAAACGCCCTTTCTCTTGCCATAAGCCGCATTCCGCCATGTTAAGGAAGAGTTTCCGCCACTTTCGCCATTCATTTTTACGCAGACGTTAAGTATTTGGTGTCGATATTTTTGTTGATGAAACGCTGAAGCCTGAAAAACGAGTGGCTTCATTGTCGACAGAACTGAATAAGTATGATAGGGGACGTATCTGAGATGCTTCAGCCCAAGCTTCCTTTGTTTTGTTTCTTTCTTTTTTGGAGCCGCCTGAACCGTCTCTCGACTCCATTTTTATCGCCGACGAGTCGACTGGTCAAGCAGCGGCTATCTTAAGTCATCTTAATTCAGTTTAATTCGAGGACCAGCCAATTCTCTTTTATGTTCCCGGCAATAGTCTGGCTCAGTTCAACGGATGAATTTTGGTTAATTCGGAGTTCATCGGATGAATTCAAATTTACCAAGCTTTTAACGGCGTGTCTTTCTCGTAGTTCTTTCGGATTTATCTAAAACGCGGAATCCTAGTTATATTACAACGTACACTCACAAAAAAAAGGATATGGGCTTACACCCCTTTGTCCCAAATAATCCACCCCAAAACTGCAATTCCACGCACAGCTCACTGATGTCGAACTGACGACTTCAACTTTTTACGAGGTGCTTGATAACGGTGCTACATAACTCATTAAACAGCCAAATTACGTACGCATCAAAGACTATAGAAAAAAAAACACTGAGGTTTAGCAGTAAAGCAAACAAAAAAAGATTTTTTTTTTTTTTTTTTGTCAGTAACACGTGCATTAGCAATTTTAAGAAGTTGTCCCCCTCGGCTATCAAGCCGCTCGTGAAAGTTAGCACCGTCGGTTCGCCGTGAGGGCGGCAATAAGTTTCTCGAGGCTCGCCCCGTCCTGCGTTTCTTGAGCTGGCTGCGACTCTAGTGTGCACTTATCTTTCGCGTGCTCATAACACGATTCCCAGTGTGAACCGCACGTTGATCGCACTCACTTTGATAGTTGGTGGCATCGTAATTTCCCGCAGATTGGGTGCCGTTTCCTTGTCTGTGAGGATGTAATCGCACTCGCCGTCTCGAAGTGTATACAAAACCTCCCCTGAAATTATGTCACGAATTTAATCGGACACAGGTTCATTAGAAATATATACACCGGGTGCCTTTATCCATTGATTTACGGAGGAGTTGCTATCGTTTGTTTTTTTACGTAAAATAAAGGGCGCGAACCACCTGACTCTAAGTCTCCGCTAAAAGTAAAAAGCGGGCAGTTTGGACCTCCCCTGCAATTACGCGATGCATTTAATCGGACTTGGGCTCATTTGAAATTGATATGCCGAGTGTCTTTATCAATATATTTACGGAGATTTCTTTTTTTTTTTTTTTACGTAAATAAACTGCGCGTCCTATCCGAGTCTAAGTCTCCGCTCAAATGAAGAGCTGGCAGTTTGGGACAATGCCGAAGTTTCAGCGCTTGCCGTTTTCTCGCTCAAAAAGTTATAAGCTATTTTTAAAAGTTTAGATTAAAAAATGGCGGCCTACGAAACCCACGAATACGGGGAGGTAAATGGGTGTCGGCTGCCATAAACAGAACCCCTTTTCCCAGTGAAATTTTCCGAAGGTAGCTTTTATAACTCTTCAATCAAGTCACGTTCATCTTTGAAACTTCACCGACTGGTCCGGACAGCATGCGCTACATTTGCCCGGGAGACTTAACGTTCGCCCATCCGCCGTTTCTTTTTAGGGTCAAAAAGAAAACTGTAAATATGAATTTTTTTTATATGAGAAGACACAGGATGTCGCTCTGGAGACGAACCAACACTCACTTGCAACGTATGATGTCTTAGCCATAACAAGTGTTGCTCCTGCGAACAGAACTGCCTGTAACGCGGCGAGATTTTCAATGCTGTTCCGGATGTATGCGCACACCCTCGAGCCGGGCTCCAAGCCATGTTCTTGAAACCCAACAGCGTACCTCTGAATCTTCGTTAAGAGCTCGATAGCAGTAAGGCTCTGATGGGAATCAACCTGAAATTAAACAAAAATAAATATTCTAGAATATAGCGACGCCAAGGCTGTGCGCAGGCCTGTTCACGTCCCGGGGTCTGGGTTTAACCTCAAGCCTTGCTTGTCTACGTTGATCTTCCGCGTGGGTAAAATGGATCGTCGGCCCTTTGGAGCGAGCGTATTAATCAGTTTCCTGACCTATCGAGTTACAATTTTGTACAGAGGTGGCCGAAGGTAGTGCATTCATTTTGTGCATCAAAACTTATCCTTACCTTAGTAAGAAGTAAAACACTAAGAGCGTGAGTGCGCTACCTATGGCCGCCGTCTCCAAATGGAGACTGTCTGGGTGACGCAACAGCCAAGAAATGGCGGCAGGTGTTGACATTTCATCCGATATATCCCTACACAGAACCTTTCTTGTAGGTTGTTTGTAAATTCAGACTGTTTTATTAGTGGTTTCAGTGGTAACGATACCACTGAAACGTCCCGCGCCGCGCGCCGCCTTTGACTCAGAAACATAGTCTGCTATCAATGGTCAGTGCATCCGCTCTCGTTTTTACCTGGCTGTGTCTGCTACTGGTTTCGTCAGTAATTTGCCTTTTGTTAGCAGACGAATGCCTTAAGTAAAAAAATATTGTTCATCTTTTGTTTTGTGTTTTTGTGTGTGTTTTACTATTTATTTAAGTGAATTTGTTTTTTGACAATTTGAGGCAGAAAATTTACCATCTTCGTTCACTTCTATAAAAGACCGTATCTTGGTATGCTAACAAATTAGTTCGCGCGGTCCCTTAAAAGGTTCGAAAATCTACTTGACTCACACGGTCCTTAGAACGTCAGCTTATGTTTTTTATGTTGTATTAAGCACGTTCAACTACGTAACTTTCTTTCCGGGCTGGCTTTGCCTTTGAGCTCGATGTCCCTTTCTTGGCTCGCGTGACTTTCTTATAAACCTTTTTTCGGGGCTGGCCTTCTTTTAATCGGCCTACTGCTATCCTCTATGCCTCGGTCCCTCCATCATAGTTCCCAATGGAAATTGACCCGTTGCACTGACGACCGAGCTGTCAAGTAAACCGAGAAACGGTACCTAACTTCGTTAAGCAAGGAATAATAATAATAATGATTTATTCACAAATACAGCTATCTCCAAGTTCATTATCGAGTCAGGTCAAAGCCAGCAGGGGCTTGTGGGACCTTACTCAGCATTAAGAATAAAGCAGGTCAAATTTCGCAATCTCATCCTTACCAAAAAAAAATTTAAAAAGACTTCATACAAGTCGAAATTTGCAGTCTCACGTGGGCAAGAAAAAACCTTTGGGGTTCTAAACTCGTCAAACACAAAGTTGGAGCCGAAAGTTAGCGGAGCGCGTCAATTGGACGTCAGAGAAAAAAGCGCGAAGTAATCGTCGTGATCGGCCAATCCGTGCGTTCCGTCGACTTCGGCCACAACTTTGTGTTTGACGAGTTTAGAGGCCCAGGCAGGTCAAAATGCAGAGTACGTACCATATAAGGAAATGTATCGCACATGTTGAAATTTGCACGCTTTACGTGCTAAGGAATGTTTTCACATTGATCAAAAGTTGAAGTATCACGTAAAAAAAAAGTACACACACGTGAGTCAACCGTTTACAGGGCACAAGGCTAAAACACTTCGTCGGTGCTTCAATTGAGCAGTGGCATCTCAAAATGAGCCATTATTAAAAAAAAAACATCTTTTGGTAACTGATTTGATGGGTCGGACTTAGCAATGTGAAATATCAGACACACGTTGTTCGCACAGAAGCACGTGCACACACTCAAATATACATACACAGAGACACACATACACACGTGTAGAAAAACGAAAAAAAAAGGATATCGAACACGCACAAATGTTTTTTGCCTTTTCATGTCACATGCAGATATAGCGATCATGCTGTAGAGCCATATGAGCGTGAAGATGAGTTACATAAAATAATACACAGTTCATACAGCGCGTGTTCTCACATACCAAAAATAATGGCACAGATCACGCGCACATGATAAAAATTTAAAAGGAAAAAAAAAAGTTGTAACGATCACAGTCGCGACATGTTACAAAACAGGCTTTCTAGAGTATTCTTCAGTTTCTTATTTGGGCCAAGAGAAAGCAGTGATTCAGGTAGCTTATTAAATTTTTTGGCGCACAAAACAAACACACACATTCCCCCGTAGTGTGTTCTCACACGTGAATCTTGAAGGCGTCGAAGGGTACGAAGCTCACGAGAGGGAATGAACGCGATTTTGAATTCACTTGCCCAGAAGTGCCGCCGCATGACTCTTTGAAAAAAAGCTCGTAAAAATTGGCATTTGAAGTCAAGCAAACAAGTTATCCCTAAACAACTACTCTGTGTTGTAAGGAAAGCTCTCGAGAATTTCTATTTAATTGCGATCAGTTCTTGAACGCCAGAGGAGTGAACAATTCAAAACGACAGTAATGCCTTATCTTAGCACACTTTAGCACATCTCTAAAGCATACATAATATTTTTCCTAACTGCCAAAGGCACGAAACATTTGATTTTGTAAATCAGACAGGAGGCAGTTCTCAAGCGTTGATATATGAGACTTCTTAGTGTTCCAAGAAAGATCAAAATCGAAATAAATTCTGAAGTATTTTAGAGAGCTAGCGTATTTCACTGGTCCGCAATTGCAATGTTGACAGTTGGATTCGTAAAGTAACAGTGAAACTGCCAAGGTTACATTTTTAGTGGATTATGAAATAAAATTAGTTATTTTTATTGGGCGTTTACACGAAGTTCATTTGCAGAAGGTCAGTCCATTACTTTTGTAGCGTCAGTCTCTAACATTTCTTTCGCACGATGGTAGACTAGGTGCCCAGAAAATATGACAGTCTCATTCGCATACTGAAGAATTTTTAAAACAGTCATTACCTTTCAAATATCATTTACCTAACTCTTAAATAATAATGTCGACAATATAGATCCCTGAGAAAATCCAGAGCTCAGGAAGGCCTCAGAACTATGCACATTGTCTAAGCACACTACTCGGGTGCGATTCAGGAGGAAATTCGCAAGCAACACATGAAATGGTCCCCTAAAACTCGAACTGGAAAGCTTTTCTAGGAAAATGTTGTGGTTCACGGTGTCAAACGCCTTAGCTATAGCCATAAAAAGTGCACACACATACATGTTGTCGAAAAAAGAGCCCAAGGTATCAGAAAAGTCTTGAAGAGTAGTTGTACCATGACCAGTTATGAACCCGTATTAATTATGAGAGCTAATACTGCGTTTCTTAAGAAAACCAGACGTGGCGATAAAAAGATGCTTCTCTAAAATTTGTGAAAGGCAAGGCAATATTGAAATTGGTCTGTAGGATAAAACTTGAGTTAGTACGCGCCACCCTTGAAGAAAAGAAAAACTAAAGCTTGTTTCATTCTGTTAAGAATATTGCCAGTTTCCAAAATTCCATTCAAAATAAAAACCAGGAGAACGTTTTTTTAGAGACGTACTTTCGGCATAAGTCATGTACTGTACTGCCATCAACGCCCGGCGATCGAAAGCGCTTAACTTCGAAAAGGTATGATCGCAACTCAGGCTCCAAAGAGGGGGAAAAAAAGCGGATTCACAAACAATCTGAATTGGGGTGTCGAAGCCACAGCACCGATGTATGTTCTAAATGAGATCCAAGACAAGTTCTCAAAATAGCTTTTAATTCCATTGACCGTGTCAGGCATATTCCTTCCCAAATGTTTATTTATTATTTCTTCTATGTTACCTTGTGCATTACCACGATGTTTATTGACGACAGCGCAAGCTTTCCTTGAAACAGAACGAACCTCGGAGAACGTTTTTTGCAAAATGCCTTCTTTTTGATGATCGACTGAGAGCGTTCACACGATTTTTTTTTCTTTTTTACCTTCTATTTTAAGGGCAGCGTCGTTAGGCGAGCGGCGAAATTTTTTCTACAATTGACCTTTGTGAGTTATGGCTTCAGGAGTTTTAGAAGTCAACCAGGGCAGTGTGGATCTACTTTTTTTTTAATCTAGTCTGCCTTTTTATGTGTTTTTGAAATTCGTGATAATGTCGATAAGCATTGAGTATATGCTTATTCACTTAGCTGAGGTTAAGAATTGATCCCAGTCGTATTCTTTAACGAGTTGTTCAAAACTGCACAGGTCAAACTTTTTCAGTTGGCAGGTCGTCTTGGTATTCTGATCTCCTCTAGAAATCAAGACACATTTGCAAGCGACAAAGTAGTCATCTGCAACTTTTCTCCTAATCACTGCGGCGTGAAGAGAAGCATCTGTCGTTCAGCTGCTTATGTGATCGAGGCATGAAGAAACCAGATTTTCACATAATAGTTCTTCTATGGTTCGCTTTTTTATGGTAGTTGTTATCCTAGTATCGGCAAGCGAAACTAAATAACCGCAAACAACCGATTTAGAAGGCTTGAGAATATCAATATTGGTATCTCCCACCAAGCACAAATTTGTCACAGAATACAATCCGTCCAACGTTTGTTCCAACTCCTCCAGAAAGCTGATGCAGTTAGACGACGGCGGTCGGGAAAGCACTAATAAGCAAACTCTATGTTTGAGATCAGAAACCTTGGCCATTAAACTTTCTGCATGTGTGAGAGAGAAATTATTCTGAGTTGATGTCCATAAGTCCTTCAAAAATGCGCCGATTCCGCCGACTCGCAAGTTTTGACATGTGTAAGAAAACTATTCAAAACCTCTTAACCTAAACTCTGACAAAAAGTCAGAGTTTACATTTTTCTCTGTCAAAACAATTGCGTCAATTTGGTCACGTATATCAGCAATAACGACAGTGAATTCGTCCCAGTATTTGCAAATACTGCCAATATT